TTGGGCTTGTCTTTGTGGATTGATATCCCCGTTAAGCAGTTGCAGCGGGAAGCTAGATTTCTTGGAAAGCCACGACGTTTTACGCTGTTTGAGTGAAAGAGGACCATGTCGGGATGACTCCCGCAACATCCATCCAGCAGCCAACAAAGCTTGAACACCACGTCGGTCTAAATTTCCAACATGCATCTGCCATCATGCCAACGTGAAGCGTGGCAAACAAGCCTTCTCCGCCGGCACTGCCGCTTTTCGCCAGCGGAGCATGTTTTGTGTACCGAGCAGAAACTGACACCCCTCCCACGCACCCCGTCGACGTCGTTCGGACGAGTTCTTCAGGTGCCGGGTCGCCCAAACATGAAGAACAACATCAAAGACGCTTTGCGTCCGGTTCTTGAGCCTGCTGGCAGCGATAGTCCAATGGTGCAGTGGGGTCCAGCTGACGTCACCAAGATTCCGTTGCCTGAAGGCTGCCAAGGGGGGCTATTTCTCCTACCCGGACACGAGGGTCTGGTTGACTACGAGCAAAAAGTCACGGTCGCCTACGGGACCAACCTCCTGGTCGAGGCAATAGCTCCGGGTGCATGGAACAAGCTCATGGCGTTGACCGCGCGCAGTTGCGGGGCAGACATCGTCCTCGTCGACTGCAATCCCCACAGGGGCAAGCTCAACATGCACATCATCCTGACGTCCGACTACCTCTTCCTGCCGTGCACGCCGGAAACGTACTGCCACAACGCCATCAAGGCTCTTCCCTTCATCATGGCAGACTGGGTCACCACGCGGTTCAACGCCCGCAACACGGCCAGCCACGCCGGGCTGGCTCGAGACGTGCAGATTCCAAAGGATAACCCTCGCATTCTGGGAATTTCGGTCAACAGGTACACGCACATCAGGAGCAAGCCGGCAAAGAACTTCAGATACTGGATGACTCGAATCGAAAACCAGCTACGTGAAATCAGCCAGGACATGCACAAGATCCAGGGCCTCGCTGGCATGGCCGGCACGCCCGGCCAACCCGATACCTGGCCTTCGATCCTCGCGAAGGTTCCTGAGTTCAATCAATTCAGTGCGTTGAGCCACTTCTATGGCCTTCCCGTGATCGCCCTGGGCGCAAACCTTATGGGCGTCTGGAACGAGGAACACGCGGAGGTGCAAAAGTTCACAGGGAATCCGAGGCGAGACATGAACAAGAAGGTTATCTTCTTCCAGGGGGTGTTCAAGAAATTTCTGGAAGAGATCGGCCGCAAGGGTCAGAGCGGCCCCCTCCTGGTTGCCCTCGACGAAATTGACGATGTGAGTAGCACGAACACTTCCCAAACGGTTACTTCTTGTACGAACGCATGTTGGTACAAGGTAACCGGGCAATACAAGTGTAGTATCACGTTCCGTGCACGTTCTCCTGCTCCCACGTTCGTTGTGGGTGCATTCGGCTTTAGAATGTGTTGTACACTTATTTGAATATCACACAAAGACTATCGGTTCGAAGGGTTTTCCCGGAGCATATTCGTTGCAATCTTTGCAGTGGTGATGAAGGGCGAGTGATCCCTGCCGGATACTGAACTGACCTGAGTTTGGATGGACCCCTTCGGAGAAACAGTAATGAACCCCCATCAACTTACTAATGCTGTGTATGAGCTTTGACCGTGTGGTGGGCATTCACCCGGGTCTCTCGTCTTCACCCGGCCGTAAACACGCCTCCAGGATGAAAGCAAGAATGGCAGCAGCGGAGGAGCAGGCTCCAATAACGCCTCCCAAGACGTCGTCTACGTGGGCGGCAGCGGATCTGGCGCTAGCGCCGCCGTTGGCGGATCGAGCTCGAGAGGAGGAAGGAGCACCGGTGGGGGGTCGCGTGGGGGGCGGAACGGCCGTGGTGGCAGCGCCAATCGTGGAAGGGGCACCAATCAGGGCAGGGGAACTGCTGCCTCGAACATGACACCCCTGTCGGGGAACAAAAGGGGGAGGACCGGGAGGCCTGAATAATGACGGGCTTCCTGGCGATCTACCCTCTGGCGCGCGAATGATATTCAATGTCTAAGACCACGTGGCGAACGTAGGCATCTAGGTCTAGTTGTCAGGCTTCGGCCGCTTAGGATCAGCTTTGGAGGTAGATAATGCCTGAATGCCTGAATAATCAAGGATTGTCGAGGACAAGAGGTGCAAATCCGCCACGCTACTGTTTTTATTGTCAAGCCTTCATCAGGCAGATATAGGTAATCTGTGTATAGTACTGTAGTACATAGTGCAGCTGGATATTCTTTTTTGGGAAATAGACACAAGTGGGTATACCCACCCCTTTCTCGGACAAAAGTGGGTACTCGAAAATCCAGCGCGCGCGCACTCCATAGGCGACACCCCCAAACGACTCAAAACCCCATTCTGACACCTGGGCGACACAGCCAGGGACCATACACAGCACGGGCATCGTTTTTTCCCCACTTTTAGGCACACCTTTGGCCCTAATACCGCCGACGCGCGCAAGGCCTCACCAGAGTGCCCACTTATGTCCGACATCGCGGTGGGTATACCCACCGGCGTCAACTAATTTTTTCATGTACCCACTTGTGTCTGTATTTTGACCCACTTTTGTCCAAATTGTACCCACTTTTGTCCACTTACGGACGGCGGAAATCGAGCGGAAATCGACCTCCACGTCACCGCACGGCAGAACATCGAATAGCCTCGGAACGTCTCAGAACCTCCCAACACCGTATGTATCCATGGCTGCCGACTGCGGACCGACCACGGAGGAACATGTCAGAAACATGCCAGACCCCTTCGGTACCGGCACGGGAAGATACCAGGCACGGGAAGATACCCGCGGCAAGCCTACTGTTGCCGTGACGAGTCGGTGTGCACTCGTCGTGGTGGTTGGTGTTTTTGTATGTGTGTTGTTGCTGTTTGCGCGTCTTTTTTGTTCTGTATGCGCGACCCGTTGGTTGTGTTGTCCGTTGTGTGTCACGCATTTATTTGTGGCGTGCCGTTAGTGCGCTGCTTGCCGGGCTTGCCGCGGGTATCTTCCCGTGCCTGGTATCTTCCCGTGCCGGTACCGAAGGGGTCTGGCATGTTTCTGACATGTTCCTCCGTGGTCGGTCCGCAGTCGGCAGCCATGGATACATACGGTGTTGGGAGGTTCTGAGACGTTCCGAGGCTATTCGATGTTCTGCCGTGCGGTGACGTGGAGGTCGATTTCCGCTCGGTTTCCGCCGTCCGTAAGTGGACAAAAGTGGGTACAATTTGGACAAAAGTGGGTCAAAATACAGACACAAGTGGGTACATGAAAAAATTAGTTGACGCCGGTGGGTATACCCACCGCGATGTCGGACATAAGTGGGCACTCTGGTGAGGCCTTGCGCGCGTCGGCGGCATTAGGGCCAAAGGTGTGCCTAAAAGTGGGGAAAAAACGATGCCCGTGCTGTGTATGGTCCCTGGCTGTGTCGCCCAGGTGTCAGAATGGGGTTTTGAGTCGTTTGGGGGTGTCGCCTATGGAGTGCGCGCGCGCTGGATTTTCGATTACCCACTTTTGTCCGAGAAAGGGGTGGGTATACCCACTTGTGTCTATTTCCCTTCTTTTTTCGTAAAGAGGTGGAAGGAAGTCCGGGCACGGAAGAACCGCGATTGTGCTAACATGACGCGTATTCTCAACTTTCATGATAAAGCTTTTTGTGACGTGCAATACCGGGAGAGAGAGAGAGAGAGAGAGAGAGAGAGAGAGAGAGAGAGAGAGACAGAGAGAGAAAAGCAGCGTAAAACAAAGCGAGACCGTCGGCGACGCTTGTTCTTGCTACTTGTGCATCCATTCAACGTACCGACCTGTGGGTTCGGGCTTCCGACGCTCGTTTTTGGTGTGTTTTTCCGTCTCTGTGCCCCGCGGGCAAGCCTATAACCCATGTTTCGGTCGTGGAACGCACATTTCCCTGTTTGGTTGGTTACCTGCCAGCACCTCTCTCGCTCGCGTATCGGCGCTGTGAACGCATTATCTCAAGATACCGTGATTGTAGTGCGTGTTATGGCGCCGGAGTTCTTACTGTTGCTGTTGTCTTCACATCAAAAACCGTTCCGGTCGCCGCTCAGTACCTTGTAATGGGGATGCGATCGTTTTCAAAATCATTCCTATCTTGGCTTTTTACCCTAGACTTCTGGAAGTCACGGGTTCGAGTTCGTGTGGAGGTGTCTCTTTTTTCCGAGACTTCTTTGTTTCGGACGTGGTCATCTTGCGAATTGTTGCGTCTGTGTTAGTGTTGTACGTTACATGCGATATGCTTTAGCCATACTTTAGCCATGGTGTATTGTTGCATGAACTTTTCAAATGGAACCCCTGAACATCAACCGAAAACCAACAGAAGAAGAGTCGAAAAAATAAAACACTTCAAGAGAACAGACTTCACAACAAGGCATGCACGGACAAGGCGACGAGAACGCTGCATCTACCCAGAGCTGTCTACCCACATCTACCCATTGTTTCTACACTGACTCTACACTCGCTACTTTATTGAAGGTCGAATCCAACCCGTCCTCCCAAAAAACGAAAAAAAAAACTTACGCAACACGCCATCCTCCCAAAAAAAGAATAAAAAACTTACACAACACGCGATGCACGCAGCGAAATACGCCAATATCGATTAATTCACGGGTTGGGCATGGTTCACTTGTCTGCCGTGCACAACCTGTAAGCAGAACGTCAAGTTCTGGCGCTCTGATCTTCATGGCAGTCTATGTGCCCTGCGGTGCAAACTACGCTACACCTAAAAGGCATTTACACAGCAGCAGTTGTTCCTAGTCTCCCTTCGTAACCCTCTCCCTGCCCGGCCCTGCCCTGCCCACCACGCCCTGCCCACCACGCCCTGCCCACCACGCAGTGTCAATGCCTCCACAACGTCACCCTCTCCGCCCCCTCCGACCCTGCCCCCCCCCCGTCCGGCCATCCAAAGCCACCCTTCCCTCTTGTCGCCCCTGCCTCTCCCCCCCTGCTTCCCTCCCTCCCTCCCTTCCCCGATGGGGCTGCCGGGATGGGGCTGCCGGCAAGGGGCAGCAGATTGGTCAAACGCCTAAGAAATTGCTGATGGCTGCTTGAGGTAGAGGTGGTATCGGTTTTGGCTTTGACGGGGGTGGCAGGGGGGGGAAACCATCAGCGGTGAACTGGTCGAAATGGTCAAGGGCGGATCGATCCATCGTCGCCGGCTTGAAATCGCGCAGCATCGGTTGACAGAGGACACGAACACAGGGGTGGTCGAGGGAAAGGCGTGCGAGCGAATGGGTGGCCGGAGACAGTCAGCGTCATGTTATTGGGGTCACAGTACGCCGCAGATAAAAATGGCCAAGCGCAACGACAACCCAAGCGAATCAGCAAAACGTCCACTCAACACTCAACACGAGGCAGGTCTTGTTTGTTGAGCTACGCCAGTGAGCTACACCAGTGAGCTTGGGGCTCTGCTCCATGTTGCGGTACGAATGGAACGCCCCCCTTGCATCCCATCCCGCCCGCAAGCGTGAAAAGCAAGGCTAGAGAGAAACCAGCAGTAGTGCTGCTCACCTTCGCTGGAGCTCCATCGACGGTAATCTCCGGAGAATGACCTGTGTTGTCTGTCTCCCAGGACGTTTGTTCACACACACCGTCTTGGCCCTCGGCCCTCGCCCGAGTAAAGTACATGTTCCAGTGGCCGGTATGACCTGGCATGTTCTCCTTCACCACGCCTTGTCGCCGCACGTTGGCACCTTCGAACACCACGCAGAGGCGAAACAGATAAGTGTCCGTTCGGCCAAAAAAACGTGGAAAACAACACACGACGCTAGGCTTGCGTATGTGGTCTCAACCTACTGCTGTCGGCACCCTTGCTTGCGTGTGTCTCAAGGCATACTGCTGTCGCCACGCCTGTTTGCGTGTGTCTCAAGGCATACTGCTGTCACCACTTTGCGTATGTGGTCTCAACCTATTGCTGTCGCCACGACTTGCGCATGTCCTACCGCTGTAGCCACGGGAAAGCTTGCGTGTGTCTCAAGGTACTTTGCTGTCACCACGACATTCCCTTCCGCATGTGGTCTCAACCTACTGCTATTGCTGTAGTCATGGGAAATCTTGCGTATGTCTCAACCTACTGCTGTAGCCATGCTTGCTTGCTTGCTTGCGTGTGTCTCAAGGTACACTGCTGTCGCCGTGCTCACGGGTGTCTCAACTCTCAAGGACCTGTCTCAAGGACCTGCTGTAGCCGCCATGCCCGAGCGGTGTCACCCTATGCGCAATAATATGGTGCAGACTACAGCACCGCGTAGACACACATTATCTGAGCCAAATACCAGCGGATCTAACACAAGACGGGAACGCGAGAGAAAGTGGGCTGGGAGGAGGAGATGCGAGGAGAAGAGGCAACACAACGACTGCTGCTGCTCCTGTAGGCTTAACCTTGCAGTCCTGTCGGTGCTCCAAAATCGACGACGGTGTAGCGCTGACTACTGCTGCCGTACACATCACACGAACCGACTCACCTCAGCAGCAACATTGACGACCATGCCGATGACCAGGGAACCGCCAGGACACCACTGAGAAGCTTTACAGCAGCGCACAACGCTCCCCTACACGTCCCGCCTGCTCTTCACTCGCGCTGGCGTTGGGCCTATCGTCCGTGCATCTCGTACGCAGCAACGCCATTCACAAGCGATTAATCTCTTTCCTTGCCAGCGATTGGGTCCAGCTGCGACCTTCGCATCATGCCCAGAGGTGTGCATCAAGGCTGAGAGAGGAAGCCACGTGTGGTGGCGGCGTAGCAGCTAGCGTTGAACGCTGGAACGCTGCACCGCAACGGCTGCCGCCTGTAATCTCGCCGCATTTTTGGTGCGGCGGGATTTCCGTACAAGTAGGTGAGCAAACAGCAAACAGCAGCCTATCAAGGAATTAGTATTGGGCTCCCGACAATCTGGAATAAGGACCAAATCCCCAGAGTATCCTGATTGGGCCGGGCCGGGGAGTAACCTATAATTTTTGCCCA